ATAATTTAACACGACCCAAAACAACAAACGCCCTAATATATTTAAAAACATATTGAAATTTAATGCAATAATGTATATCACGAATAACTAAATTATTTAAAAATTGTATAATTAGAAATTAATATTTACTAGTATTTAATTACCATTTATTATCAAATCGGTTATATATACATTTTGGCAGGTTATGGAATTTTGAGTTTAACCGAACTTGGAGAAGCGAGAAGACTCCTTACTAAAAAAGCTTTAAAAAATATAATTATCCAAAAATTAGGTAAGTATAAATATAGGGTTTAAAGTAATCGCTTTTTAACAGCTTCTATTTTTTACAAAGTGAAATGAATCACTGTAAAGATTAACACAATCAATTTTTTTAAAATTTATTATCTTTTTAAATTATTTTCTAGAGCTCTAGCATCGAGAACAATTTTCTTAACAATTTGAGTCGTCGATTACAACTTTAGATAATTAGTATAAAGTAATTTTACTGAAGTGTTTAAATTTTAATATGAAGGTGGAGTGCGGTAGAGTAATGAACGCAGATAAAAATAATACTACACTTTACCCTTTCTACCGTCCTGCTAAAAGCATTAAAAATAACTATCCAAAAATGGTTATCGACAAGTCAAAATGTGGCTAGTAAGCTTCATTTGGAAATTTTTTAGAAAAATTGTTTTGTTATTTTTTAGAATCAAATTTAACAGCATCGATCTGCAACGTGTATCCTGCTCGTATTTTGTGTAATTTAATAGGATTATGGATTAGTTCAGAAATTCCATCGGTAACAGATTCTTATACTAATCGAGATACTGGAGTTTGTTGTATCATAATTGATGGGACCGATCACGTTGTAAAATACAGAACCTTTCAGGGAAAATATTGGCAAGTAGACGCCAATAACACTTATCAACCGATAAAAGAACTAAAAGTACAACTAAATGAGGAAGAGTTTACAGTTGTAACAATTTAGACCAGAAATGAAATGTATATTTTTTCTAAATTAATATTAATTATCTAAATAATTTTTGTATGTGCACTAACATCCGAATGTCAATTATTTTAATGTTTTTCTATAATAAACTGTTTTGATCTTGATTATAAACACATTTGTTGCCTATGTATTATTATTAATTTTGAGGATAGTTTGTCTCCAGACTGTTGTATACCCAATGAGAGATATTTAATATTATCAGGTTATAATATTCTATTTTATAAGATTTATTGTAATTTTTTTGCGTTATTCTTAACAAAAAAAAGTTTTACTACTGAAATTGTTGCTATAGAATTTTAGTCGATCTTCCTTATGTATTAAATTTATATGTAGAAAATTGTTTTATCTCTTTTAGGGAAACGATTTTCAATATCTACAGTAGTGTGCCCAATACAAATTTGGAAACGATTCTTTTATGTTTAGTTAAGTGGACATAAAGAAACATCGTTGTAGCCATGCACGGCGAAAAGAGAAATGTCAACCTATCGGACAAGAAATTTGTTGTTTTGTAAATTTGTAAGAGGTCTCTTGCCATGGTCGCAATATTACCATATGCAGAATTATGGGAAAATTTGAAAGTAGATTTAGAGAATAAAAAAAATTCGTGTTTAAAGAATATAGATTTAAGTACCTACACGAATGAGTGTGTTGTTTAGAAAAACCGAAATATTACTATTATATTTACGAATATACTGATTTAAAACTATAAATCATAACCGATCGCAAAATTATTTGTACCGTACAGTTACACTTGCTAACACTTAGGAAGTACCTACATACAGGAAATATTTAAGAAAACAGGGTTTTTTTAAAAATATATTTTCAACTATATCAATTTATTTCCAGACAGAAAAATATTTCATCCCATCGGCTATTCTTCCCGGTTATTGTGGAAATCGATTGCTGCATAACTGTTTTATTCACTTAAAAAAGGAATTAAAAAATGTCAATTTAAGATATAAAAATAAGATTTAAACACAGTCTTAATTAAACTATTAACCTAGCCTATCCGATTGTTCTAAGTAGGCGTAATAGGCTTTTTGGTCTAAAAATGTCCAAAAGCAGACAGCTTGAAACGTACCGTACATTTTCCGATTTTATGAAAATCTATCATCACAAATTATATTTTATCACACACACAGTAGTCAATAAACTTTTTCTTTATTGCCTAATGTTATCTACAATTCTATTTTTATTCCAAATCACTTTTAACATTTTTTACTACTTTATATGTTCCGATGCTATAAAAATATCAAACCATTGAAATTTTGATTAACTTCGGGGACTTTTAGCACCACATTTGTTTTTAATAAATCTAATGTATAGGTTTTAGAATCAGCATGAGTAATGCATCGAACCCTCTGTGCATAAATCAGTCGCATAGACTTCTTATAGTTATGATCTAGTCGCACGAGAAGTTAATAATAAGATCCTATAAACATCTCTGCGTTAACTTAGAGGTGCTAAACGCCAGGTTGAGCGATTTTATGAATAAAAAGTTAAATTTTAATTAACGAAATAAAATCTAAAAATACTTAGTTTTGTTTAATTACAAAAACAAAACATATTTATAAAATATAACTATATAGACCCAATATAATAATTATGGTTATTATGTATGCAGGTAGCCTTTACATTTTAATAGTTTGTTATTTAATTGAAAAAATACAGAATGTTTAAAAAATAATTATACAGACACAGACACAATATTATAATTATGATTATTATGTATGTAATAAAAATTATGCGACAGCCTGTACATCTGAAATCAGTACAAATATGCGTTTGTATATTAATTTTATTGTATCTATATGGTATGAACTTGCAAATGTAGTTGTATTAACATACCAATCACACAAGAGAGTATTGGTTTTCCAAACATTAATGTTATGTTTTTATATTTAATTACTTTACGAAAAATGTCACCATTGGCTGGTGTTGAATAATTTTCTTTATGCAAACTATGTCGTTTGTATTTAAAAAAAATAATTATCAAAATATTTTTTAATTGTTCGAAATGAGAAATTAAAATATTCATGTATTCTACTCCAATGTGAATTCTAGACCTTAATTTCTTAGAATTAATGAAAAGTCATTATCACAGATATGATCTAAAAATTATGTCTACATATGATAATCACAAATTAATTTTTGCAAATTTATCTTTAAATGTATTATTTTTAACATTGTTCGGATTTGAATAATTTGGTAAGTTCATAGCAATGTTGTTTGAAGAATTCTCGTCTTCAACTAAAGTAGGATAATATATTGTAGTTTGATATGGTTTTATTGGAATAGTTATATGTGTTATGAGGTTGATCGGTTAACATACTTAAAATCTCACTGGCAGTAGTCATATTTTTTGACCCACCAGTTAATTGTATGAACGCTGATTTCTATTTAGCTTCAAAACATCGGTTAAAATTTCTTTTTGAAATGATATGTTAAGTTTTAATTTTTTGAGACTAAAACAAAAATAAAATTATAAAATTTAAATAAGTAATACAATTTGTTCATCTAGAATAGTAGATTTAACTATATGAAATGTATTATTGACTTCTGTCCGCCTTAACCTTTTTCCTGAATATTAATAATACAAAATGTCTTTTGAGTCAAAATGAGTTTTGTGGTTATATGAGATGATTTGTATGAATTACGATTTTCTGTGCACAAGTTTAAAGCGTCCAGACTTCTACAAAACAATGACTGTCAACAGATTTCTTTTAAATTTTCAACTTTAAAAGTGAGTAAATATATAAATTATATATTTATAGTTCATTGAAATTTTTTCTGTTGAACCAAATTAAGTCATTTGTTCTGAAAAAACTAGTTTTATTATGAATTTAAGTTAATTAAAAACTTTTTGTTTTTAACTTCATTACATTAATTGTATTATATATTAAATATTGGTTAGCTCTATGCCAGTCATTCATTATAATTGTTCACAAAAATTAGTTTTAGGTAATATTATATTGTATACTTAAAAAACAAATTATAATTTTGTTTATGTATATAAATTATAATTACTTACAATTTTACTATGTTATCCTTTGAACATTTATAACATCATCTCTTAAAATCTAGATACCGATTATGCAACTTTTTCGGTGACAGATCATCAAGTGAGATATTTCCTAAAATGTTTATTCAAACTATATAAATTGTCAAGATGGCATTTGTTAATTAAATAAATAGATTGTAATTCAAATACCCGAGTTTAATATCCATTCTTTGCTCAAATCACTTTTCGGGATTCTAAACATTTTTATGCCTTTATTTTGTCGCCGATTATTGGTACAACCAAAATAAGCACAACTCATTTTTATATAAATAAAAGAAATATACGAAGAAAATAGTTGAAATAACACTATATTATTTATAAGAATATAAATTACAGAATTACTGTATTTACTTCTTGACACAAGAAAATTGTCAAGCGTCTGATGGTATGATGATGTCATTAAACAATTATCGATGAGTGACATAGATCTTATACTTAGAGGTAGGTGTACAAAGTTGCCATCGGCGTCTGATTGACCGGTAATGGCCAGTAATACACACACCTGCGTAACTGACGAGTAATCAGTGAATAAAAATTAAAGTAGTTATTAAAGATACACAATAGTTATTGACGTATAAAAGTGACACACTGATTTTGCGCGCACGACGCATTTAGCTAGACGCCATCTAGCGCAGCCCATTTTTACAGCAGATTGTTTCTCATTGAATACAATGTATACTCAATGATATTATATAGCTAAGCGATTCGTTATCCATCTGCTTTGAGAAAACGATGCCAATAAATATTTTGCCTATTGCCATAGATAAACACTTGACTTTGTATGTAATAACGAGATAGAAATCTATGGCAACTCACCGCTGCATTGCTGGCATTCGTTAACTGATATTTTAGTGTAACATTTTTTTTTCGTTTTGCATTCTTAAATTTTTTACAAAGTGTTCTATATTCATTCAAGTTTATTGTACGAATTTCATAGTAATCGCTTAAACCATGTATCAATACATTCCAAGTATAAAAAGGAGTAAATCTATTGATTTTGATTTGACATTATTGCAATCGGATATTGCTCATGGGTAAATACATTTTTTACGCCGACATAGCTGTTGCCTTATGTCTCTTTTTCATTTCCAGAGGGTTTAAAACGTCTAAGTCGTGTCCGAATTTGAAAAAAATACATGTTCCGCTAGAACAACGCAACGACGACTTGGAATGGAAAGAGTTGTTAAAATCACTCATTGACACTTGGGTTCAAAAGAAAGACACGCAGGTATGACGAGGGAGTCTAATTTGATGTTAAAAAGTTGTATTATATATATTTTTTGAAAGGACGTAGAATAACAATGAATAGGTATAAAATAAATGTTTTAATAGATAGTACGTGACAATACTATAATGCTAAATTATTTACTCCAGTGCCGTAGCCAGAAACATATATTGGGGGAGGGACGCTAGCCGCTAGTTATTTATGAGCTCAAGTACAACAGTATTCACCTGTCCTTAAATGTAAACTTAAATAAATTTAAAAGTAATTATTCAAAGACCAAAAGTGGTAATCGACCACTCAACATTTTCAAAACGTGAGGATAATATTTACGTTACCATTTAAAGTTCATAGGGTTTTAACGCATAAGGTATATGGTTAATCGTTGAAAAATATATCCAATTTGGGTTAACTAATAACTATAAAAGTAAGAATAATTTTAAAAAGTTTAATAGGTATTAAACGGGTCATAGTTAACCAATCACCCTATATATAATATATACAGACAAATACATGGACGCTTGACAAATTTCCATTGTGGACACCTCGCTTATTAGTGTGCTAACTTGACATTCTTATTTTCTTCAAAATTAGAATCCAAGCATTAATTATCATTAATAAAATAATTTAAATACCGTTACTCGCTTTGTTTACTTATTATTATTACTACTTTATTCGTACTATGCGGATTTTTACTAGAGAGGAAATACATTTAATAAAATAAGGTCAACAAATCTAGGGCAAAGGATTGCATTTCAGCCAGTCCACGCCAGGAAACTAGAAAAATGTTTTACCCGATTAATTTAGTAAAATAAAAAAATGTTTAGATACAAAATATCGAGCTTCAAACATTATGCCTCGAAGATTTACTGAGTCACTATTCTGAGCAAATGCAAAAGACCTTGAAGAAACACAGGGCGTTGACTAGTGACGTGCATGACAAGACGGAAGAATTAAGATCATTAGTGCAAGTGCGTATAATCTTAAATTTAGTTAACACTGTATCGAGAATTTAAAACGCTGAAAAAATAAAAATAGTTTGGTTGCATACAGATTTTAATCAACCTTCCAATACTGGCATACATCGTTATAACATTTTTATTATATTATATATTTATCGATTTATCAAAAATTGTACATTATTAAAAATTGTAATTTTTAAAGTCAAAATAGCGTTTAAGTCGAGCTGGGGTGCTGAATATTTAAGGGGACTCGTTTTTTATGCCGGGTTTATTTGATTTTAGTTCAAATTATATTGTTCATCTACATCGTTTTAGGCAGTTGCCGTAGAAAAGCAAAGCCAAATAGATTTAAAGGAAAAACTCGGCCGTTTAGAATTGGAATATCAGAACAAAAGCCATATCCTAGAACAGCAAATTACCACTAATAAAGAATTAGAATCTGAAAAACAACAATGGGTTGAAAAACTTTCGTCATCGGAACGTTTGTGGGATTCGTGAGCGCTATTGTCTTTTTGTGTTTATGCTTATTAGCACCAACTGTCTCGACAACATTATGTTGAATTATTTACAGGGATTTTAAAAGAATCACGGCCGTCAACCAGGAAATAAAGACAACATTTTCTAGCGATATTGTCAACTACAAACTGGCGAATGGGCATCTGATAGACGTCCGGAACTGTTTAGATATATCGATTGCCAAAAAGATTGCTATAAATCAAGAATATATGAGTATGATGTAAGTTTTTAAGCGCAGCCTTTATTTAATTTATTTAAAAAATGTATGATAAGTACATGTTGATATTGATATATAAACAATGTGTTTTGGCACTTGAAAAACACTAAATAAAGCACAAGAACAAAATAATTTCAATTTTAATTTATATTATTATTATTTTATTTTACCTATTCTTTTAAAACCTATCGTTTGGTATATTCTTTTAGCTATAACTTGACCAATCATTTTTTTTTTAGTTAATTAAAACTTTCATAAAATTGTTGGGAAATTGTATGTGACCAGAGTAGCAAAATGTAATCAAAAAACGAATAAAAAATAATCAAATTCGTAACGCAATATTTAAAAAATATATAACATTTTATTCGATAGCTATTATTTTCAAATACCAATATTAGATAAATACATTTTTTTTCAATCTAAATATACATTTTTTGAATTATTCACAACTCGGTACAGTTTATATTAGTTTATCTCAATTTATATTAGAGATGACATTGTAGAAAAATGATTTAAAAAAAAAAAAAATTAATTTCTTATTAAACCCTATACATATCATAGGGTTTAATAAGAAATTAATTTTTTTTTATAGATATATTGAGAGTGGCTCTTGATAAAAAAAATCACCAATCCTTGTCAAACAGAAACAAGAAACGATAAATCATCTAGTACTTAATTATGCTGAGTTTCCGTTATTCTCTTCGCATGTTTTTAGGCGATGTTTATTGCAGTAATTCGATGTACAATATTAGGTTATTGAATAAACAATCATCTTACTCGTTGTTTTTAATTAAAACTGTGCCATTAACCTAATACCTCATTCCGACTTAACGAATTTTCAGTATATTATAATATAGTATGTCAATATATTTCCAGGAGAAAAATAATAGAATATCAAGAAGCTACGCAGATGAGAAAAATGATAAAAAAATCTATTTATGCAGGGTCGTTGATGTTTTTGGATGAGTTAATACGATTTTTATCATTTTAATTAACATCAAGTTTATTATTTAAATTATATAATATAATTTTTCCTTACTTAAGAGGAGTCAACTTTTGCTATAACTATGTAAAACACCATTTATTTTTTATATGCCTAATGGTAATTTTTCTCTTATATATTTATTTCATGTTTCTTTTGAATATTCTTTATTTAATTGACTTATAATTAAATACACGGTTATTGAAGTATTTTTTATGTGTTTTTTTTTTAATATGCAATCATTGGTTATTTTTGTTAATAATATAATTTAAAAAATTATAAAAGTGCAAGGTATGTCACGGCTACGAACCGATAGTGACGTTTGAGCCATCTTGATTGTCGTACAAAACACTGTAAGCCCTATTAAGATGGTGAATTACTGAAGAAAATCCGTTCCACGCAACACTCAATGAGTGCATTTGCACAAAACTGAAATCTGTCACGACATTGGCAAATATTGGCCCAATCATTTTGTGTTTTAATAACAAAACATTTAATTGCTTAATCCAAAGTCTTCAGTTTTATGATAAAAATTTTAACTTACACAGTGGCCCCAACACCACCCGTAGGACATTGTTCAACTGGTACTCTAAAACTTTTGCAACCGTTGTGCATGCAATACATGTACACAGTAATAATATTTGTCTTCGGATAATTCACTGACTTCGCACTAATAACACACGTGTTGTTTACGATCTTTATACGTTTTCGAAACATTGTCGTATAGTGATCCTTATTCAAGTGAGTAAATCAAAAAGCAGTTTCGGCCTTAATATGCGACCATTCTTCGCTATTAAATTTAAATTTACCTTCCAAATAGTTGCAACCCTTGTAAGATGTACAATTGTTGTCTCTATACTTATCCAGGTTGGTGGGATAGTTATTTTTACAGCCTTAAGAGGGCGTCGCACCGGTGATTTTCAATGGTAAAAACATATTTAAGCAGACTGAAAATAACTCGCTTAATTTTGGTTTTAGAGTAAAAGCACCCATCATAAAATTTAAAAAAAACAATATTCCGGAGGGCAAGATTGTGCGTTTTTTTAAAAGAAATAGTTTTTTGAAAAGTTACAGTCATTTAAAAATGTTAAAATAGGTGTTATTTCTCAACTATGTATTGAGCGTTATACTTGGAATAATGAAAAAAATGCACCGTATTTCCCTCCGGAATGTTGTTCTCTTTTAATTTTATAATTGGTGCTTTTACTCTAAAACCAAAATTAAGCGAATTATTTTCAGTCTGCTTAAACATGTAGAAATGAAAAAACATTTTTAAATCGCTTTCAAGGATGCTGTGATAGTCCGAAAAATAAATTAACTACCAAATTAGAGTCCTAGTTATTGAACTAATAATTACACATCACAGTTTAACCTTAAGTTAAGATTTTGTGAAAAATTGCCTATACTTTACTCCTTAAAAATAGACGGTACGACGCCCTCTTAAGGTAAAATAACACCAGCTTTTACTGGCGTAAAATAAACGCTTTTATAAGCGCTTTTTATATGGCTCGCCATAGGCTTATATTTTTCATCATAGATCAAGAGCATATAGAAGAAAATAAGTTTTAAATATATCATTTAACTAGCAATCAGAAGTCTAAAATAAATAAACTGATTGACAAGTCAGACTTTGTTAAGGACCTATTAAACTGATATTATAATTCAATAATAATAATATGTACAATTTTTGAAATGCAACAAAATAAACTATTTAATAAAATAACCCATTAATCATTAAAATAATTGTTCAGAAAGATTTGTCAAATTATCACAAAATACCTCCACTAAAATAACAAAAATACTGACTTAACTCAACACGCAATATTTCATTATTCACTGATTACTACGCTTTAAATTAAATCGATTTATCGGTATTCATTTTGCCCATAATGTTGACATTACTCTTTTTTCACGAGTACTCAATAAATTCCATATAAACCAGTCATAATAATTATTCTACTGAATAAAAACGTTTATCACGTTGCTTGAATATAAATTAAATGTACTTACATAAAAAACAAAAGTTGAAGCTTCAACTATTGAATTCAAAAAATATATACATATACTTTACGCCTTTACACACTTGAGCGAACTGTACTATGAGTAGTACTTACTTTACAGATATAACATTATTTTTAAAAAAAATAAATACAAAATACAGAAATAAATATTATTCTATGATTAAATTCCACAAGGACTTGTATGCAGTTTCTTCATTTTCACTTTATCCTTTAAGGACAATTTGAATGAAACTTGAAGAAATCTTATCGCCTTTAATACAATGATCTGTCCGATTGAAGTTTAAATGAGTAGTTTTTGACGGAAAAATTAACTAAAATGGCTTTTACTCAGGGTCAAAATGATTTAAGTTAAAAATAATACCATGGAGCTTATACAAATTACCCGTTAAATTAAATGACACGGTCGAAATGTATTAAAACCACTTTTTTCTTAAATATTGCCTATACAAAACTCCTTAAAATTGGCCCGGTACCCAATAGCCTTAAACAGTTTACCATAAAATAGCTAGATATATACAATGATTGTAAATTCGTTATTTTAATATCAGAATAGGTATGCGTTTGAGCATTTAATAGTTAACTAAAGTCAAAACTGTACAAAACACTCAACACTTAATAATTCAAATATAACAATTAAACTATTATTTATCACATTTATTTACTTTAAGTTCTAAATTACTTTAGAGAGTAACATTGTAACAATTATACAACAAATATATTACTTATTCACAATTTTTTTTTTGGCTCTTGGGGGTTGGAACCTCCCCCCCCCTCCCAAGTACGTCACTGCCTACTGCAATCCTGTCGCGTGTATAACTAAAATTACGAAAATTTTGTTTTCGATCACATTTTATCGAATAAAAAAAATTAGATAAATAGATACAGTGATTATCGGGGGAAGATGAGGAAAAGAGATTATTGATTTTGTTTATTTGTGACAAAACAAGCCAGAAATATTTATTCAAATGCTCTTGTTTTAAAAATCGTTTACTGAGAGTTCCATTTTTTGTGTGATTCGAATAAGGAAAATTGTAGCCTATTGGTGGTTTTCGATGATTTTCGAGCAACTGTTATATACTTACACACGGAACGGATCAAACGCGGTTTATTAATAATTTATTTATTATAATTACTTAGGCCTGGGCATTATTCAAATCATTTTTTTATTAAAATTTAAATTACAAATTCAAATAATTATTAATACAAATTTATTTACAACGTCGTCTTAATAACTCATTGTTTTTCATTTCTTTTTTTACTTATCTTAAAAATGCCCAGGTTTGCTGCTTGGATAAAATAAATTACTTACGTTTATTCCAAATGCATTCATTTTGTTGGACTAATATAACAAATTTTTCAGTGTCAAAAGACATAATTAATTAAAGTATGTAATTAATGTTATATTAAAATTTAATTAAATAGAAATTAATAGAACTTAAAATGTTTTAATAAAGTCAACATCTGACACCGTCGCACGACACCGTGGTACAACTTAAAAATAATCAGGCCCGGGCCACGCGGCGATTGCAAAGATTATATCGGGAAATTCGCGAACATAAAAAAAACTCGATGAACACTATAATAATATTATAAATTACAAATATTATTGCTTAATATAATACTATGTGCAATCTGGAAGCCCCCGTTCTTGGACAACTAATAAAATAGGATAACATTGTAAAAATAAATGTATCCAATAATTTTAATACAATATTTTTATTTGATTTAAATATGAGAATATAATGCAATGACCCAGATGGAGGCGGGGCCCCTAGCCCAACCAATATAACTTATAATGTATGTAAATCATAACATAGCGCCCTCTAGCTGTGTCCTATACTTTTCTTATCTGTGTCGATTGTGTGTTATTACTTATTATCATTTATGGGATATTCATTAGTCATTGTTATTTGTTATATTATGTTATATTGTTACTCATTATTTTATATGTGCAGCCCCCTTTAAAACGTTTACTTGTAATTTAATTATTCTTTCAGGTAACTATTGTATTTATTTATATTTTGAATTGTAATGTTTATTTATGTTGTAAATTGTATTCTTTCAAAATAATAAAATCTTGTTAAAACCACTTTACATGTATAACATTTGATCATCGACGTAATATTTTATATTTAGTAATATGTTTGGAATTTGATAATTATCAAAATGTGTTATCATAATATTTACTATTTTGTTAGCGCCCGGTCTAAGATGTATAGGCAACCACTATGATTTCGGGGGGCATACTTTTGTCGCGATTTCTTATCATTGACTGTCCCGTATTGAATGTATAGCTGTGTTCTTTAAGCACTATCAGTAATAAACGAACGTTCAGTCTGAATTCAGATTTCAGTTACCATCCAACATGGACGTGTTAAACCAATTAGATGACACTGAATAATTATTGTGTATTTCGTTAGCGTTTGACTATACAGAAGAACGTCAACGAGTGCATTGGGTTCATCCACTAAATTCTTATAGATTAACTTTGGGTGAATTTAGTTGCTTATAATACAGTCACTTACGACAGTGTCCTGACCGTTTTTTTTAACTATTACCGAATGCCATTAAAATCGTTTGATGAATTAGTTAATACAATGCGATCAAGCATTTCAAAGAAAAATACGAAATTTCGACAAGCTATCAGCGTAGAAGAACGATTGACAGTTACATTGAGGTAAGATTTTCAATTTTTTTCAACATTGTACACTACTAAATGTATTAAAATTGAATATGAGTTTAAACTTACTTGAATCCTATGAATTGTGTGAAAAATATTTGTTGTTAATATCAAATCTGGTAAGCAATATATTTATCAAGATTATGTACGTACCAAGTTTAAAAAAGAGATTAAATATTTTAATTGTTCATTACTAAATTCTGTTACCTATTATCATTGAGTATATATTGTACAATATATACTCAATGCTATTATGAAACCAAATCATGCTTAGCTACTTGAAAAATTATTTACAAACAATTTAAACC